TGGGTACATTAGCATTACTTCTATTACTTGACCCATTGCCAATATTTGGTCCATTTATTCTATATTAAATGTTCTTGTTTAAAAAAAGAGACTTAGGCTTTTTTTTAAGCAAGTACTTTTGAAGTACTGAATGGTCACTGCAAATAAAGAACTGCCCATGTAGTGTTGGAGATAGGGGAGAAATGCCTATATACACTCTTATGTCGATTATTTACAGAATGGGAATGTAGACACAGCTCACTATTTTTGGATGTTTTTTTAAAGGAAGCACTATCTCAAAAGAACCTGCATGGGACAGCAGGATGGGAGATACTTTGTTTTAAGACTTTTATGTCCAGACCACCAAGTTGTTTTGTCGTATATCATCTAGTTGTGCATATAAATAAAGTTATAAAAAATTTAAGACATAAAGTAAACATCTCTGAATGACACCATATTGTATTCATTATCTGTATTGTTCCAGAATATAGCTATTGAAAGCTAAACCTGATAGCACACCGTCCAACTCCAACTGTGCTGAATTCATTTAAGGGATGATGATCTAAGGTGTAACTTGAGCTACTTTGGGTTGATTCTTAATTTTTTTCTTTTTTCATTTTCATACAGTCACATATATACTGTGCATAACCGGGGCCATACAACATTAAACAATAAACACAGCAATTCCTCTTGTCAACAATACCCCCCAAAATAGAAACCCAATATACCTCTTCGATCCTCCATACACCTCTTTCTTTCACCCCCCTCCAACTTTCCATCTTCCCTCCATCATTCCCCTCTACCCTACTTCCTCTCCCCCTCTACCACTCCTCTCTCCCAGTCCACTCCCTCCCTTCCTTCTCACTCTCCCTCCAATCCTCTCTCCCACCCTCTCTACCCCTCTTTCTTCTATCCCGCTACTCCTCCCTTTGGTGTATTTCTACTATATGTCAATATATTCAGCTTGTCCTAGGGTTGATTCTTAATTTTACTGGTGGACAGAGAGTTGCTTCTGATTTCAAAGACTGCCACCAGGAAAATAAATGCCTGAGGCAAAGCTTTAGGGGAGGTGGGTAGAGAAACCTATGCAGTAGAAGAGTTCAGTCTTTACTCCCACCCATGCCCTTTATGGAGGGGGGAGAGCAAGTGCAAGCTTTAAAGTTGTGAGAGGAATTACTTTAAAGTCACAGAGGAGACACTTTTAAGGAATGAAACCTACAGGAATCAGAATGCTTAGACTGCATCTCCTTTTATTGCAAAGAAACTAGTGACTTACAAGACTATTCATAAGGTTTCATTATAGTTTTTTTTGTTTTAAAAATAAGCATTTTTAATATACTGTACAAAATGGCAGTTATGTAAAGCTATACATACAATAGTGCCAGAAGCTGTCATTTTGATTAATGGTGTGAATTTCCTCTTCATTATAGTCATGTTAATGGTTGTATTGGCTCCTCGGGGTTTTTTCTTAAAGTAGTCCTACAAGTAATGAAAATAGTAGAAAACATGTCCAGATAAGACCTTTTGTCAGCAGAAGCAGTAAAAAACACAAATGGAAAAGAGCCAGCAAACACAGCCATCAGAACCTGACACTTCTAGTTTAAATTGTCTTTCTGGTTTTAAACAGTCTACTACTTTTTAGTAACCCTGTAAGCCAGGGGTGTCAAACTCGATTTCAGTGTGGGCTGCATTGTTGTATTTGACTTCGGGGGCTGGGGTGGGCATGATCAGGGTGGGCACGGCCAGCTTGACATCACTCATTTCAGGGGCATCTGTGATGGCCCGAGCAGTCTGCCAGTAAAACGTGCTCCCGAGCTCCATTTTCAGTTGTGATGGCCTCCTGCTGATCTCTGCCAGTGAAAACGGAGCTTGAGGGAGTGGGTGCGGGCCCCCTGAGCTCTGTTTTCACTGATAGAGGGTGGAAGGAAGCTGTTGTGGCTGAAAACAGAGCCTGGGAGGGCAACATACAGCTCTCCCAAGCTCCATTTTCACTGGCAAAGACACTAACCCTTTGTTGTTTCTAGGGTGGCCCTGTGGGCCAGATCTAAGCAGCCTGGGGCAAAATCCAGCCCCTGGGCCTTGAGTTTGACACCTCTGCTCTAAGCAATAGCTCTAAGCAATAGCATTTAGACTTATATACCTCTTTGCAGTGCTTTACAGCCCTCTCTAAGCAGTTTACAGAGTGAGCACATTGCCCCTAACAATCTGGAACCTCATTTTACAGACCTCAGTAGGATGGAAGGTTGAGTCCACCTTGATCCTGGTGAGATTCAATCTGCCAAATTGCGGGCATCCATCTATCAGCAGAAGTAGCCTCTAACTGTACTCTAACCACTGTGCCACTGCGACTCATAGGTCTACTGCTCTTCCAGGACCTGCATAATTGCTGAATGGTGCTTGTGATGCCTCTACTGAAGCCAAGGGCCTAATCTCTCCTTCAGCCTAAAATAAAATGGTTTTAGAGGGGAGCCCTAAGTGACTTGAACAGAGGTTCTTGATTCTAGTAGATTAAAATGACCGATAGAAGCTCAACTGATGTCATTTCCTGACCATCTCCTCCAACATTTTCAATGAAGTATTGTAGAATGATTGTATAGTAAGACTTCTAGGAGAAGCGGAATCACATTATGACATTGGGGCAGGTAAATATGAACATATGGTGCCTCTGCAATAGGCAGGGGATTAGGCAAAGACTCAATGTTCTATAAAAATGGTTAGTGGGGTGTTTTTTAGATGCCTCAATGAACCTCTAGTTTTGATCATAGAACAATAATCTTCTTGAGAAGAAAATGAACAGCAAGTAAAACATCTCATGGTAGTATGGCAATGATGAAGATAACCACACAATTCTTAAACATACATAACTGTAGACACGTATATACCATAAGCTTAACATAACCAACAACTATAGCCTTTTCCTCTTCCCAATCTCTGTGCCAAAGTATCCATACATTGCAAAAATTCATGGTAACCCATGATGCATTTTGCAGATAATATTTGTGTTTATTTGTATTGTTGACTTTCCAAAAAAGAATTTAAGTCACCAGGCAATTTGTTGGATCAATAAGGCTAGACCAAATTTAAATGACATATTTTGACTTTGCAGCAATATTATTTTGCAAGGCAAGCATCTCTGCTCTGACAGCAGTTTCAGTACCCAATTTTGAAGTTTTAGATTACAACTGGCAGAAGACAGATATAGACAAAGACAAATCAAAGGAATAAATATATCCCTTTTATATTTGGCAAATTGTTAGGAGATTATTTTGTTCTGTATAAGAGTTGGATAGTACAGCCAAACGTTTATGCCTCTGCCAGCTAAAACAAAACATTGCTTACTTTTAGAGAGTGACAAAATTAAACTTGATCAGTACTCTAAGGATAGTGCATTAGTAAATTAAATCACAACTGACTGCATAAAGAAAACCCGTATTCTGTTCTATATATAACATACTCATTTTTCCTTCTGTTCAAGAAGGTATTACTCAGTGTGTGCATGTTAAGAAAAACTTTATGACTAACATGCACTCTGTAAACTCATTTGGAAAAGTATTGAAGTGTGGAGTTTTGCTTTGTACCTGCAATAGTCACTGCATGGATTCCCAATCTCTTGGGCACATTTAATGTACCGGTAATTTTTCTGCTCTTTGCTGAAACATCTCCAACCTGATCGACTTCAGAAGTACTGAGAAGTCAATTTCCAGCTGGTTGATTGTTGAAGTCCTAACAAACCTTCAGGGAACCAATTTGGGAAATGCTCGTGAATTAGTTCCACTAAAGATGAAAGTTTATGAATTTTGTAAAGATTGAATGATCATCTGGTTATGTGACTTAAGAAGGAGGGAGGAAATGTATGACATCCTAGTAAATATACTAGGTACTGCAAGAATAAATCTGGAAGCCTAATTGAAATGGGCTACAACCTTGAAAGTTTATGACTGTCTTACTAGGTTTTGACAAATGGTGGAAATGACTGGTATTTTAGATTGCAAAGCATGCCAATCTGTGGATAATTTTAGAGAAAGTACTGTTTATCTGTAACAATATTATTTATTATTATTATTATTCAATTGTATCACAGCGGCCAGTTGTTTCGCCGGATTTGGCATTGGTTACTAGTCGGGCCCGACCCAGAGGCCTAGGACGTCGTAACGTATTTTCGTAATATGCGTGCAGATCCAAGCAGTGCGGCTTTTTGCATTTGACTGATGGTGATTTTGTCAATTGTTTTAAATGCAATTCAAGTGCTTTTGGAATAGCACCCAGTGTGNATCTCCGTGGTCATGTGGCCAGCATGACTAAACACTGAAGGCACATGGAACGCTTTACCTTCCCGCCAAAGGTGGTTCCTATTTTTCTACTTGCATTTTTAACATGCTTTCGAACTGCTAGATTGGCAGAAGCTGGGACAAGTAAAAGGAGCTCACTCCATTACGCGGCACTAGGGATTTGAACCACTGACCTTTCTGATTGACAAGCTCAGTGTCTTAGCCACTGAGCCACCATGTCTCTTAGAAATCATATATTAATATATGTAAATAAGTGTATGAGGGGTCCTTGGTGCTCTCTGAGCTTGGTTGCTTTGCGTGTAGACATTTCATAACCCTGGTAGGGAACATCATCAGTGCTAGGAGGGAGTGGGATTGGTGCTCCCTGAGCCTGGTAATTTCCTTGGAGACATTTCATGACACAACTAGGGGACAACATCAATGCTAGAAGGGAGTGGACTTTGTGGAGTGGAGAAAGACAAGGAGAAAAATAGGAGGACTGTGGGGTGCCTGGTGCTCTCTGAGTTTGGTTGTTTTCTTGCAGACATTTTGTGACCCAACTAGGGGACAACATCAGTGCTAGAAGGGAGTGGGGTTTGCAGGAAACCATTCATTCGTTCCTTCGTTCGTTTCAGGAGTGTGAAGATCTGTCCGTGAATCTCAGAGACTCTGTGCCCAGATTTTCCTTGCACAGCACCTCATTTGGAAAATATTGAAATGGCAGCTTTCCAAGGTAGATAAGGTCTGTGGTCATAAATATTCCTTTGAAAGACTGTTTACCAGGCCTTGGCTGAATGTGAATGAGAGGAAATCACGTTCATTTAACAAAAGGGATATTGTCAGGACCAGGAATCTGCCTCGTGCTATTTGGGGAAGCCTAGGTCAGAACATCTAGGGAATTATGAACCAAATGAAGAACCTTAAAGGGGGCCTGTTTTCCTGTGACACACGCAACATGGCAAACCAACCTGCAATGCTGGCTAAGATTTCGCTGATTCCGATCAGAATATACTGAGGGACCTGCCACCAGACGGACATGTCGGCTGCATAGTAGATGGCCGTCCCAATCTTCTGATCAATCGTTTTGGTCTTGACTCTCCTCAGCCGGTCGCTTTCCAATATTCCTGGAAGAAGAAACACACAGGAAATGACTCCCAATTGCCAACACCCATTGTCAGGGTTCCAAATAGCATCCAAAAGTAAATCAGAGTCCGAGGCAAAGTATTCCTCAAAGTTCCAATTTATGAAGAGAGCCATGTTGGCACATCTGGGAAAACCCAAATCTGAAAGCTTCCCGGTTTTCCCACCCAGTTGAAAGTTCATGATCTTGCCCCCACACCCACAAGTCCATCCCATGGTTCAATCTCCCACTGCCATGCTGGCAGTGCCACCCATCCAATTCTGGCCAGTTGCAGAGACAAAGGATGACCTTGGCTTTCTGGAAAGAATTTTGTTTTGGCTACATAGCATCTAACTCTGTACAATCCCCCCTCCCATTTTCCCACAATAGAAAATGCATAGTAGAATAATAGACAGTGTGGCAGGCCAAAGATCCAAAAGAAAAGATGGCTGCAGGCCTGACACCCATCTGATGTTCAACCTCTGTATTTCTGCCACATTGTCCCTGATCTCACCCGTGTGTTCAAAGCATTGCGCTTTTGATTGCACGGTTGCATCCTGTTGCATCCTGTTTAGGATCAACCGTGCAATGTACTCCAAACCATCAGAAAGGGAATTCGGATGGGTTTAGCTCCCTATAAAAGGGATCCCCCCCGAAGAGTGGTGCAGTGGCCTAGAAATGGAGCTCTCGCCTTACAATCAAGAGCTGTGAGTTCGATCCTAGGTATAGGCAGATATTTCTCTCTCTGGGCACAATGAGAATATTTCTGCCAAAGAAACCTCTGCATTGGCAACAGGAATGGCATCCGGCCAGTAAACGCTCAGCTCCATTCAGTTGCCCAGACTCCACCCCCATAAGTGATTATGGGGTTGTTAAAAGATGATGATGATAGTTATTTATTAAGCTTTAAAATGGAAGATGAACAAGTGAAAGAAACAAATAGCACAGGCAAATTTTTTTAGATATACAATAGAATTAGACAAATAGCAAAAACTCTGCGATAGAAATGATAAGTTGACAATAGCAACTACGTACAAGGAAAACCCGTATAAAATGCTTTACAAGTGGCATTTGCCACTGGCAAGACTAGCAAAGATGTTTAAAAACATATCTGCCAAATGTTAAAAATGTAATCCCACACTGGGCTCGTACCACCATATGTGGTGGACATGCCCAAAGGTAAAAAAAAGATTGGACAAAAATACATACGTGGCTATAGAAAATGATAAAGTAAAATATACAGTAAATTTAAAACCAGAAATATGTTTGTTAGGTATACTGCCAGAAAAATATGACAAAGGGAATGTATATTTAATATTACATGTTTTGACAGTAGGGAGAATTGTATTTGCACAGCATTGGAAAAATGAGGAAAACTCCTACAGATGAAAATATAATTTAAAAAAATTAGACTACATTAAAGATAAGAGACAAAGAAGACACAGAATTTTTTTTAACTTGGTATTTGTTTTACCAATTGTTAGATAATAATGGTGAAATTATTAAGAAAATGCTCCATGATCTTATCCTTCAATTCTTTTTGTTTTTGAGTTAGTTCATCAGTTGTTGTTTTTTTAAATTATATGTTTTTTAATTTTAGTTTAAAACAGGTACAGCATCTTTCTTTACATCAGTTGGTTCAGTGATAACTGGTTCTAGTGGTGGTGGTGTTATTTCCTCCCCGAGAGCTTCTTCTGGGAGTTCTACTATAATGTCTTTAGTTGTGTCTTGAATATCAGTTATTTCCGCTTGTGATATTGTTTTTTTGATTTTGTAATTTGCCTGAATTTCCTCAAGTTCAACTTCACTAATATTCAATATTATTATTATTATTATTATTATTATTATTATTATTATTATTATTATTATTATTATTATTATTATT